TGTAATGATCGTATTGACAATTTTTTAGGTTGGGGTCATCATAGAATTCATCGTAATTATTTTCGACGTTAATAGCAAAATTAAATAGCCGGAATTGGAGCGAATGATGGACATGTTGTGTTTCTTGTGCTGACACTTATCGGTGTCGGCCTGGGAAGGTTTCTTAGATTTGAAGAATTTGGCTTAAACACGTTTGTATTCGAATTATTTGCTTGTTGGTTGCCAAAGACTTCAGCGTTAGTCGGGAAAGTTTGGTATTAGTTGAATTTGGATGGGCTGAGATGGGAATTGCGAAAAACGCTATTAGGCGTACGAGAATTAAAATTTTGATAAGGCATATTAACTGGGCGTGCAGGTCTGAACTGCGAATTTTGAAAATTTGTAAAATTCTGTGAATCTGCCCTAACTCTATATGAAACGTTTTGGAAATAATGCACATTTTGTTCTTCAATCATTAATTGAAGAGCTTCGCACAAAGAGGTTGGTTTCATGCACCTGACAGTGGTGCCCAATGGTTCTTTCAAGCCTGAAAGGAAAGGCTTTAACGCAAGTTTTTGAGACAAATCGCGTTTTATTGCTTTACCACTTTCTGTAGTTTCGTGGATATTGACGTAGCTACACAGATTGTTTAAAATACGCAAACACGTTTCGTGAAATTTTTGAGGGCTCTCATTTTGATATTGCTTTAGTAAGCAAAGGTCTCTATGTAAGCACACTTCATCACGTTGGTCAGAAAAACTAGTAATTAATAAAGTTTCGAGTTCACTCCAGGTGTTCACTGAATGAATGTTTATTAAAGATTTGGCATTTCCTCTCAGCTTTGAAAGAATGGAGTTCAATAAAAATGTATTTTGAAAATTGCTCGGATTGGAATGATCATAAAAATTGTCAATCAAGGATTTGCTTACACGCAAAAATCGATTGAGATCGTTACTGTTGCCGTCAAATTCAGGCACACAACCTAAGTATTCGGGCCTAAATGTAGCCATAGTTGTAGTAATACTTGTAGGTATTGAACGTACAGGAACTTGTGAAAGTATGGGCTCACGTATATTAGAGTACCGTCGAGTATTTGGAGAGTCAGAATTAAGGTCCAAATTATCAAGGGCTTCCAATATATCAATACTCAGTGAAATTTGAAGCGATAAATGAAAAAAAAAATGAACTGCACTTACAACACTAAGAAAGCGATCTTTAGCATCTCTTACTCCTATAAAGATCCTAGCTGGTTATGCAATGTTGTCTTCCCCAGGCTGGAATCCTTGCGAACTTGAGCAATGTGGTCCCAAATTCCGATGCCCTTCGTATGTAGCTGTTCACGCCGGTTCCTCGATGGATTGGGTATCCAAAAATATGAATCCACTCCAGTGCTCACTGCCACTACACGAACGCCACCAAGTCCAAAAGGCCCGAAAAGTCCCGTCGCGACGGTTTGCGAAAGTTTTCCCGGGTCGCGTATTCCTGATTCTACTGGATGACTGCGCCAGTTATAAGATCGATGCCTCGAGATCGCTATTTAAAAAGTTTATTTTCGAAAATATAAAAACTCAAAAATGTACTTTTACAAAATTATTACAATGTTATTATGATGTTAACAGTACAGAGGCTTAAATCTGACTGTAAAATGTGTTGAGAACAATAAAGTAAACTCTAGGTCTTCTAGGAAATTAGTAGCATCGTCGGCAGTATTCCTGGCATATCAGCAGGAACGGCTGATATAACTCATGGTAGATGTTGAAAACCTTATCCGTTATTTTGCAGGCAAGGCCTGCCTCTACGCTGTACATTTTTCACTTCTCGGTTTATTATTTAACTAAGGCTTGTGAATATCATTGTCTGACAAATTATACATTTTTGGAATCAGAATTATGAACTCTATGCATAACGCAGACTACGGTGTTGTGGAGGTTAGGTTTCCGTCAGACCTCGCTGTGGCATCTGAAACTCGCGCAGGCCGCAAAATTTGGCATTACGGACATGCCGACTGGGAGGAGCTCAGAGACTTCTCTACCTTTCCTGGGGGAGATTTTTGTTTCGCTGAAGCGGACGCGTCTGCTGTCTGTTCATCGATAACTGAAATTATTCACGTTGGGATGGAGGAATACATCCCTCATACAGTGAAAGTGTCTAAGCCAGGGTCCAATGGCTGGTTCAACAAATCGTGCCACACTGCTCGCCAACAGAAGATCAAGTCACACCGAACTTTCTTACAAAACCCCACAGAAAACTGGAAATTTGCTCATATACAAAAAAGGATCTAAGAGCGACCCTTGCTGGTTTGTTCGAACAGTGGTCGGTGACTTGTTGGTAACTGTGTCAGGGACCCGGCCGTGTGAATTCCGCTTATATAGCGTAACAGAATGAACGGAATTTGTGTAGCGGGATCTTGGACACGATCACTGACAGGTTGGCGACAGCTGTACGAATAAGGCTTACAACTATACGCATATAGCTCTGCTTTCTGTTATAAGTAAAGTGATGGAGCATGGTGCATAAATCGCCAGCTTCTGGACTACCTAGAACGTCACGGCTTGATTAGCGACAGGTAGTACGGTTTCCGGCAGCAGCGATCCTCGTAGCTTACGTCATGCAATTGTGCAGTAAACTCATCAAATATTATGGGGAGGCTCTTGATATCACGAAAGCGTTCGATCCGCTGTGTCACGCTGCCCTCTTAAGCAAACTTCCATCCTATGGCCTCTCAGAAAAGCTTTGCAGCTGAGTGGCTGACTTTCTCTCTGACCACAAGATATTCGTCGTAAATGACGGGTTTTCCGCTTCATCCCACAATAACGCAGGTATTCCCCAGGGATCGGTCTTGGCTCCGACTCTGTTCCTCTTACATATCAACGACCTCCTTTCCTGTACGATCAACCCAATTCATAGCTTTGTTGGTGACAGCACTCTACATGCAGGAATTCATAGCAACAAGCCGATCTCTGCCAGTGAGTTGGAAAAAAGAAGTCTAGTGGTGACTTCCTCTCTGACGAGACCTGGAGGTTATCAATGCTTGGGGACGCAACAGTCTTGTACAGTTCAATTCTTCCAAAACACAGTACTATACCTTGAGGAACAGAAAGCGAGTTCAGAAAAAGAGCCGCTCCTTTCGGACCACATCTCGTCAATAGCGGCAGCTGCTGGGAGAAAGGTAGGTTATTTGTTTAGGACTAAGAAGAACTTTTATCCGCATGACCTCCTCACTCTATGCAAGGCCCAGATAAGACCTATCTTCGACTATTTTTCACACGTTTGGGGTGTTGCCGCCCCGACTACATTATCTATGCTTAATGCTGTACAGAGGAGCGCTGTTCGACTGATCGATTACTCTTCTCTAACACAGTCCCGGGACCCTTTCGCACCGGCAGTCCGTCGGCGATCTAGCTCGCTTCTACCGCTACACCCACAAGATTTGCTCCTCGGAGCTCTCCTCCATGATGCCGCCGCGCGACGTGCCTGCAAGACAGACGCCTCTGACTTCGGCCTCCCACCCTAACCGTGTCAAACGTCGTACATCCAGAACTGGTCGATACGACCGCTCTTATGTGCCAAGGGTGTCAAGATTGTGGAACAATCTACACAGCAGTCACGATGTCCTGGCATTCAGGCTTGTGCCTGCGCGTCTGCTTCGGTATAAAAAAACAAATCCAATTTGGCGTCTACGACAAAAAATAAAGTTGATGCTGGGGGATAAGACACGAAAAATTATATTGAAATTCTAATTATGCCATCTTATAGGGGTGAAAAAGTGGAAGTGCTAATGTTCAAAATTTATTTTTAAATCCTACTACAAGTAAAACCAGGAAAAAATTAAAATAATTTTGGAAAATTTCAGATTTTCTGTTTCTCTCCGGAAGTACTTTAAACTTCGAAACTTTCTAAGCGGCATTTTGTTGGTAACCTAAATACGAAACTTTGCCCCCATTTAAATGATTTGTATCTCTTACCGCTTCCGAGATCTCAGTGGTGAGGCTCGAATTTGAAGTGTTAATAATCAAAAGCAGAAGGTTCCGCAAATGATGGGGGAGCCTGAATTAGACATTTACTCGCACGCCTTCAAAAGAGAAGGTAATATTAAATAGCCTTCGCTCCTCTGAGTTGGGGTTTTCTCTCCTCATTCACGATATTGTGTTTTAAAGTACAAATACAAACTACTGATTCCTGGTATGTATTCTCTGGTTCTTCAAATTATAAGTTTTTTTTGCACTAGGACAAAGGTCTCATTAGCTAGATCCAATCTTGTATATATATATATATATATATATATATATATATATATATATATATATATATGCATATCTCTAATTATGCACAAACCCGTGTTGGTTGGCAAACAATGTACCACTTAAAGGCTTGACGATAGGATCCAGTATGTCGCTCTGATAGTTTGCCGCTTTTGTTTTCACGCCCTGTTTACAGAAATGGAGCTGAGTGACCCCTTCGTAGGACCCCCCACCAAAAACCATGACTGACGCAGGGTGGTGGCCTCTCTCAACTCTCGGAATGATCTCCGAAGCTTCCTGTGAACTCCTTGCATACACTTTGTCATTTTGTCGGTTGAATTTTTCTTCTATGGTGAAGATTTTTCATCCGTGAACAAAATCTTTCGGAATCCCCCAGCTGCGTACCTCTCCAAGAGCTTCTTGGATCTTGCGCCCTGATGTGTCGCAAGGTGGCCGTACAGTCGCTGGCCCGTACGTCTCCGGTAGCCCCTAGCCCTAGGTCTTGTTTAATGATGCGCGACATCGTCCGGACAGGAATCTTCATTTCCTTGGTAGGATCTTCTGCTTCCGGAGTGGATTCCTTTGAAATCCTGCAGAAGACGCCACAACATCCATTGCTTCGGAATGATATTTCCCAAGGCAAGATTCGAACCCGGATCAGAAGCACGTTACTCTGACCCACCCGACCAACCGTGATCCCCAAGTTTGATAATATTGACTAGGCGTTTAATATATAATAATTGCGAATATCTGCTCTATAAATTAGTTGATATTACTCACTCCATAGCGCTAAGATCCATATCAACCTCTTCTCCTGTGCAAAGAGGAATCTTCTTCTTCTTGTTCCTCCTGCTTTTGGAATGGCAAGTAATGTCGGCCTTAACTACTGTATTTTCAATTTGTAGGTTGTGTTTGAACGTACCATCAAGCTCTTGCAGCTGAACTAAAAGTGGTCCGACGTATTTTCGAATACCTAGCTGATTGGTACAATCTTGACGGATCTCTACTTCTATAGTGTTCCTGAAATAGTTTTGAATCTGAACGTTATTGTATATTATTGCTAATAATTAACTGTTGTAACAAACGTGGATCTGGAAAAACTATTTATACATCTTGTGGGGATTTACTTAATTCACAACATAGCCAAGTTCTGAGAAGAGCTTGGCATGTACAGGGTTTGTCCGGAAAGTAATAGGACTCATTTTCTTCCGCCATGACTGTACTTCGGAGCGTGCGCGCACCGACTGGATTCGGTAGAGGGCGTTCCTAGCTAACGAATGAGCGGCTGGTCAGTTGTTTCCGAACACTTGGAGAGTCAGGACAGGCATTTTCGCGCGACGTGTTTCTGTGAGTGGTACAAGCCGAAAATGCAGGGTTCGTTAGAGCAGAGGTACGCGATTAAATTCTGTGTGAAACTCGGTAAATCTGTGACAGAGACGTTTGATATGATCAAGCAGGCTTACCCAGGTGTTGCTTTAGCAAGAAGAGGTGTGTTTCGGTGGCACCAGGCCTTTTTGGAGGGCGGGAAGATGTCGCTGATGAAGACCGTGCTGGAAGACCTTCGACTTCGACAAACACCGATAATGTGGCTCGTGTGCGCAAAGTTTTAAACTCAGACCGTCGACTAAGTATTCGTTTAATTGCCCAGATGTTAAATTTACCAAAATCTGTGGTTCGCGACATTGTGACACAGCATTTGAAGATGCGCAAGGTGTGCGCGAAGATGGTCCCAAAATTGCGGCGAGTGGAAGTGTGCCAAGAAAATTTGAACATGTGTGAAAGTGACCCCAATTTTTTAATAACGTAATCACAGGTGACGAGTCGTGGATCTTTGAGTATGATCCCGAGACAAAGAGGCAATCTTCCGAGTGGTACACGACGGCGTCTCCTCGCCCAAAAAAGGGAAGAATGAGCAAATCCAAAGTGAAAACGATGCTCATTGTCTTTTTTGACATCAAAGGCATCGTCCACCATGAATTGACAAACCGTCAACGCCAAGTTTTACGTGGAAGTGCTCAGAAGACTCAAACGAAGGGTCAGTCGGGTCCGACAAGACATCGCAGCCGACTGGAAGTTGCATCACGACAACGCGCCGGCTCACACCGCCTTTCTTGTGAACAGCTACCTGACCAAGGCCGGCATCCCAACGCTTCCGCAGCCGCCCTACAGCCCAGATGTGCCCCCCCCCCCCCGGACTGAAAAGGTCGATGAAAGGCAAGCATTTTGAGACTTCAGAGGGGATCCAAGCAGCATGCACCGCGGCTCTCAAGGCTATTCCGGAGAATGCCTTCCGTGACGCCTTCGATGCTTAGAAATCGAGCTGGCAGCGCTGCATCGACGCAGAAGGAGCCTATTTTTAAAGTTTTGAAAGAATTGTAACGATTGGCTCAATAATTTTTTTTTAATCGACTGCTCTATTACTTTCCGGACAGACCCTGTAAGGTATGAAACATATCTTGTTAATGAATATTAGCTGCGAATAAAATCAATTATGGATTTTTGTGACAAAATTCATCAATTTTTTTGAAGGTGGCTAATTAGAACTTACTATTTTTATATGGGGGCGTGGTTGTAACACTCCTCTCTCCAAATCTATAATAAAATACGCTAGGCCACATACACATAAAATGTATTTTCAGTACCGAAAAGCTTCCTTATCAACCCACACCCTTTCTAAAAATGTATGAGGCGAATTTATTATTGGCATTATCAATCTGTAGTTGTGACTGCATCAAATTTAGTATGGTAGAGCGATCGTGAATTGAGAACTTAACGCGTTGGCCATTATAATGAGCCACAGCACCATCATAATGTCCAACTTCCCTCTCCCCGGCGTAAGTAGGTGGTAACATGTAAAAAGAATAAGAAAAACAAGTAACAAATTTCATTAAAGGCCTTATTATAAAAAATCATTTTACATAAGTATGTAATATTATGAAAAAAGGAAGAATTTTCTTGTTGAATGCATATTTTTACATCCCACGCCATACTGGCGAGGAAGTATTGTAGTAGTAGTAGTAGAAAGATTTATTTAGCACATTTGGCTACATAAACAGAACAATTGTAAACAACTTAGAACTAGTAAATTTAAGCCATATGGTATATGATGTAAATGCTGGGCAACCTATAATTGTAGATTTAACAAGTGATTTCTCAATTTTACTTTAAATTTTGTCAAAGTTTTCTGGTCTTTTATCTCCGAGTATAATTTATTATATTCAATCAACCCTTGATGGAATACAGATTTGTAGCATATGTTATACTTTTTGGTCATTAAATGGAAGTCATCTTTATTTCTGGTATTATGTAAACGATGGTCGACATTTGATGATGAATTATATTATTTTTTACTTTATAAATGAATATCATTACAAGATATTTGATAAAATTTTTTACATTGAGCCATTTTAATTTGCTAAGCATTTGCCTAATTGGAGTATATTTATCTTTATTTAGTATTATTCTCATGCACTTATTTTGTAAAATTTTCAGTATTTCAAAAATGGAATTATTTGCTAAATATAGAATAGTCGAACAGTACAAGAAATTTGGAAGAATGATGGTATTATAGATAATTTTTCTGCTATATGAACTCAGACATCCAGAAACTCTCGATAAATATCCCACTTTACTACTAATCTTATTTATAACTTTTTCATAATGAATATCAAAAATTAATCGAGAGTCAACAAAAACTCCTAGGTATTTAAAATTTTCTACGAATTCAATATCTTCACCATCAATATTCAGTTGAACATTTGTACATTGTTTTTTTCCGATTAACAAGGCTTTCGTTTTACTTGCATTTAATTTTAGTCTGTTAGATGCTAACCATCTTGAGACAAGCTTCAAGTCTTCATTTATATAAGAGATGCCAGACTGAATATTTTTAGTACTTATATAAATCATAGTGTCATCGGCGAAAATTTGAATTTTGCATTTTTTGACTATGGCAGGTAAATCATTTATGTATAAAATAAAAAGAAGTCCCAGGATACTGCCCTGTGGAACACCCAACGTATTTTCAATTTTTGATGAAATAGTGTCATTAACTTTTGTAACTTGCATCCTTTTAGACAAATAATTTCTAAACCAATCTAAAACACTTCCTGTTATACCATATGCCTTCAATTTACCTAACAAAATATCTCTATCAATCGTTTCAAATGCCCTCTTCAAATCCAAAAATACTGCTATGACAACTTCTTCTGAGTCTATGGCTCTTCTCCAATTCTCAGTTACCAACTGGAAAGCTGTTTCTGTGGAATATTTTTTTCGAAAGCCTGCTTGCGCCTCCACTAAAATTTTGTTTTCTTCTATAAACTGCATTAATTGGTCATGCACTATGGACTCTAATAATTTTTCAATGTCTGGTAACACATTTACTGGTCTCATATCGCTGCATCTTTTAGAATTTTTTATTTTGGGAACTGGTGTTATTGTAGAGCATTTCAAATTTTCAGGGAAAGAACTGCTTCTCAGTGAACAATTGATCCAATTTAATACAGGATATCCCAAAATTTCGAAACAGTTTTTCAACACGTTTTTAGTAGTCATTTCGGCACAGTTGTTATTTGATTTTAAACTGTATAATTTTTTTCTTAGATAATTCAATGATACGCTGTGAAATTTTGAAAGTGTATGCAACATTTCCCCCTGGAAACTGATTTTCATACAGTCAGGTGCAGCATTGGCAGTACCTACAATATCAACAATACTTTCCACAAAATATTCATTTAGTTTGTTTGCAATCACCAAAGAATTTGTTTCGGTACCGTTTTCGAATTGAACTTGATTTACGCAATCATGTGGCTTCGAACTGATCAGTCTTTTTAAAGTCTTCCACATCTTTACACTGTCGCACTTGTTATTATCGATTTGTTTATCGTAGAATTTTCTTTTTTCTTCTCTAATTACATATACACATTTATTCCTAAGAGTTTTATATACCTCCCAATCATCATTTGATTTTGTGAATATACATTTATTGTATTGTTTGTCTCACAAATTTTGAGCTGCCTTAATATTCTTGTTATACCAGGGTATATTTTTTGTCGAGCAAATCACTTTTTTATCAGTTGCAAGATCTAAACAAGTTTTTATATTTCCTATTATGTTGTCATATATTTTTTCCATATTCTCACCAAAATTCCAATAGCAGCCAGCAAGTTCTCGTTCAAGTTTTTCGTACTTAATAGTATTTACGGTTTTCTTAATTTTTGTATCAGAAAAATGCCCTACCAAGGGCAGCATTGTCCAACTGTGATCGCTAACTTTAGGTGTATGTACAGCTTTAATCCCTGCACATTCGAAATTTACAATAACAAGATCTAACAAAGTCTCTGATAATGATGTTATTCTGGTACTCTCTTCAATTTTTTGCTTGAACCCATAGTTGTTTATGGTTTCTTTCAATTTTCTTGTTTTCATGCTTTTACCATAATAATTTAAATTAAAATCACCTAAAAGTATTATATTGTTTCTAAAATTCCACATTTCTTCGCATTTTTCTTCAAAAAACGTTAAAAATGTATCTGCATCACTGTTTGGTGAACGGTAAAAAGTACAAAGATCATAACGTTTCCCAAATAATTTGAACTGTATATGTGCATACCAGTATGCATAGTCTAAAGTGGTACAATCGAATAATGTGATCTGTATTTTGTGGTAAACATAAATCACTACACCTCCAGTATGTCTGGAGTTGGAGTTGCATCTGTGGGTTTTATAATTAGTAATTTGTAATTCACCATCAGTGATGTCTTCTGTAGCATGTGTTTCGGTAAGACATAATACAAGTGGTTTTCTCCATCTTAAAAACTGTTGAACTTCATCTATATTATTTAGGACTCCTTGTATGTTTAAATGGTATATTGAGTTATATTCATCACTTACAGATTTAGCCACGTCTTGCAAATCTGAGCTTAGTAGTTGCTATTCATTTGCATAATTAATTTTTTCCCTCTCACGTTCAATTTTCCTTTTATATACTTCACAATTTTTGTCAAATGGTCCATGATTAATAGGTAATCCTAGATTAAAATCCTGGTTTGCACTTTTACAATTTGGACAGTATTTGTACATTTCACTGGTACTACAGTTTTCTGTTGAATGTCCTTCTAATCCACAAGTAAGACATCTTCCTGATTTTGTGCAGTATTTAGCTGTGTGGTTAAATCCGGTACATTTATAGCATCGCAAAACATTGATGTACTCGAAAACAGAGCAAACAGACATGTCGATAAAAATAACACCCTGATTCATAACACACACACACAGCATCCACTTCTAAAATTGCTTGATATTTAGTTTTCATTTTCTTGACTGTAATTACTCTCATATGTGAATTTTCTTGAAAAGATTCATTTTGTGATTTTATAGTATTTATTAGCTCGTCTTCTGCATATTCTGGACAAAATCCAATAACTTTGATTTGTGGTTTTTTACTTATCTCTGAAGTTTTCACCGTATATGTTTCTGGCATTTTTGATTTATTTCATTATGTAGCTTCGCGTTATCATCTTTTGTTTTACATTGGATTTTCACCCCACCATCTTTCAATTCATAAACTTTTTCAATAGCAATTTTCAAACTGGTAGGATTCACAAATTTTGCGATGTCTTTCTTTGTGTTATTACACTCTTGTTGGTTATTAGGCTTAACAATGACTGTATTTGTGGGTTTTAATACTGGTACGCATTGCTGCTTATATTCTACCATTTTTGTAGGCGAATTAACGGTTGAAGGCCCTGAAGCTTTAACCATATTAGCGTAAGTTGTAATTGCTTCTTGTGACGGCTGTTGCATTTTCCAAATTTTTTTGTTTAATTGGTCTATCTTTTCGTACAATTCTTTTATTAATTTCTCTTGAATCGAAATGGTATAATCTTTTAGTTTCAAAACTTCCTCTGTACAAAATCCCTTTTCACTCAGTGAGACCACACTCTCCACTTCCTCACTAGCTCCATCCTTTTTAGAGTTTTCCTCCATATTCAAACTAAAAATTCAGGAATCTCCTAAAAACCTTTTTTTAGCTTGACCTAATTTTTGACATTAGAAGTCAAAAAAGTATTTCCAGAATTAATTTTGTGCAATCTCTTCCGTGTGGGATCTGCAGCTGCAAACAGGTGTGGTGATATATATTTCGTTAATCTTCCCGGTGATCCTTGGTTGATATTTTTATGTATGGTCTCTACCAATATTTCGTGTCTGTGTTGGAGCGAATAAAAAGAGCAAGTGTAGTAGTTAATATAGCAAACTCTACTTGTAATTGTAATCAGGGAAAAATTCGAAAATGAGATGGTATAATTTTTTGAATGTAGGGTGGCCAATAAGAATACTAAGAACTGTATCTGGGATCCCATCCATCGTAGAAACTTGAGGCAAAAACAGTTATAACTAAAACGTGATGTTTCGGTGAATTCCGTTATATTAACCTAACAAAAACTTACCTGATCTTTAAATTAGAGGGTAATCTAAACCTTTTTTGTTTGACAATTTTTGCTGTATCTCTAAAAATAAAGTGGTGGGCGGTACTCAAAGGTTTTCGTAAAAAACACTCTGTATCTTCGAAACCGCTGAGCCGATTTTAACAAACTTGATCTAGTTGAAAAGAGCTAATCTTGGGCTACAAATGTTATAATATTTGAAGTTTTGTTAGTTTCACATCTGGCCGCTACAGGGTGTTTTCGTCATTTTGACAGAAATGGTTGATTTTATCAAAAAAATTAAATGCATATATGATTTTTTTCATGAAAAAGTAGCTAAACGATGTCTAAACAAGCTCGGGAAAACCTCATCTCGATATCTTGTTCCTAACCTAAAATTTAGGCCAAGAAATATTTTATACGAAAATCCCTTAATTTTTTTTTAACTAATTTTTCTGGAATTTCTTTTTATTACTAAGTTGTGCCCTAAAAAGGACCAACTTAAAAAAGAATGCCTCTCATGGATAGACAAAACTGCAGCTGCAGCTTCAATTTCGGTTCTCGGTATGTTATGTATTGGATTACGAATCCGGTTTTTCATATCTTCTCTGGTCGTAGTCTGAAACATGATGCCCTTTAACCGCCCCATAAATAAAAATCAAGACAAGTCTGGTGATCGCGAAGGCCATGGAAACTGACTTTCTCTTCCAATCCATACAATACTGCATCAATATTGTCTCACACAATAGCAAAATGTGCTGGGCAACCATCCAACTGCAAAAACAAGTTTTACCGTGTTTCCAGTGGCACATCTTCCAACAACGGTAATTGATTGTTCAAAAAGACAAGAAAGACATTGCCTTTTAGGGATTGCTCGAAAAAATATGGCCCAATAATTCTGCCACCCAGTATGCCACACCACACATTTAAACTCAAAAGCCCTTGATGCTGAACTTCATGCAACTAATGCAAATTTTCGGCAGATCAATAATGCATATTGTGCAGATTGTCTCTCCCGTCGCTATTAAAGGTGGCTACTATTCGTCATTTGTTTGTCTGGGCGGTCCGTACAATTTGATGGTCATAAGAACTGTTCCCGAAATATTTTGAACCGTTGTTCGTGATATGCCCAACTCAAGGGATAACGCCCTTGTGCTAAGATGAGGATTCCCTTCAATATACCCTAGTACGCGGTTAATATTTTTGTGTGTATTCTTACCACTCTTTGCCGTTGAAACGTAAGCCGAAAACTACCATTGGCTCGTAAGCTCGCTACTAATCGAGGAAAAACTCTCACATCGCAAAGACGCAGATTTTGATATCGAGTCGCGTAAACACTTTTTGCTGCTGCGGCATTCTGAAGACATTCAAAATAAACTGCCAGCATAGGTACTGGACTTCCAGTAGGGCAGAGAAAGAATGTATATGGACGGAATTTTTTTGTCAGATGGTCTAGCTTGTGCTGAACATATTCGTTCCTCAACTGATGACGGCGATTGCGTGGGAAGTGCAGAGTCAGCCTACTTGACGCCGTTTTTTACAAGGTTGTCAATCCTGGACTGAACTAAGAAGGTACATAACGTAAATCACGATCAATACCGAACTTGTTTCTGTATTCTGTTTTTATTCCTACAAATGCTGAAAATGTCCTTTCACACAAGATATTCTGAGACATGGTACCCAAAACGCTTGTTCAACTTTTCAAAATCATATCTGACAAAAGAATCATTTTTATTTTCAGAGTTTGCTCTTGTAGTGCTTCTGAAAATCCATCTATTTCAATGCAAAGAGGATCTATTGCCAAATGATAAAAAATATAATCGTAGGAGTTGGGTAAGTAACGCTTGAATTCATCAATAAGATGCTGCAAATAGTTTGATACTGGGGTCTTAATAACAGTCACAAACCATCTTGAAACACTCGTCTTCTGTTATCGATAATAATTTTGGAAATCTGGAAAAATTACATATAAGATTTTGCTCCAACTTATCAATCAATGCAGTGATAGTATCCCAATGACATATTATGTTTGAATCGCCGCGTTGTATTTCATTGATTGACAGCCTTGTGGGAAATATACAAGATCACCCATCCATTGATCAATTTTCATTGACCCTTACCGACTTGACTAAATTTTTCTTATAACTGATTTTATTCCTCGCACCGCGCGTCGCCCGTGCCTCCCCTTTACTTGTCGTCACGCCCAGTGGCGGGCACGACCCCCACTTTGAAAACCATTGCTTTAGAATGTTAATGACTACCACTGACAATGAACACGCAACCATTGTATAACTTTAAGCAAGACGCACATACCTTTTCCTGTTGAAGACGGATGCCAAATGAAATTTCGCATGCCCGCCAGTCCTCACCCATTGGTCAATGAACACAGCCATGTCTTTTCCAGTCACAGTGAAAATGGCTTTGGTAAAAACATCAGTACTGATCAACATATTTCCCCACAATCCACTACCTATTTTCTGCTGAGCAGCATTTGTGGCAAGTGATAGTTGTTTATTGAATACTTGCAGTAGCAACTCTTGACCGATTCTGTGCTCCAGCATTCTCATTACCAAAAATGCCTTCTTCTGCAAGGTTTCGATGTACCTTGGCGACATTGTGTGGATGTTTCGGATTGAAAAATAGAATTTTTCTTCAGATTTTGTTGTTGTCTGAGGGATGTTCCCACCTACAGGAAGAGGGGCCGGTGGCTGACTAGGATCTAAAACAAAATTATTCAGCATTAATGTTACATAGTATATCACACAATATTTTATGTATTCAAGTATACAACATGTTTGTCGAAGATGTACTTAGTTAGCGTTAATGCTACAATATCAATGTTACACAGTATGTCATCTAATATTTTATGTTCTCAAGTCTACATATTTTTATTCAAAATTTCACTACTGGGTTCTGGTTTTTCATGAAATGTTTTTCCAATTCCCCTTTGTACATTTTTGAACTAAAATATCATTATTTAATCGTACAAGCCTTTTTGAAATACTGATGTTTATTATATTGCTACTACAATTCTTTAAATGAAAGTCTATACTTCCTCTCCTTCATTGCTCAATTCACTACAATATTCTGATTTGGTAAAAGGTGATTTTTATCTTGAATATGAAAATGAAAACCAACTAGGTTACGAAATTTTTAATATTCAACCATTTTAGTTCTATCAGCAAAAAAAATTATTTTAGAATATGTATTTTTATTCAAGATGTTCCTCATAGCTTGATTTTGTAATATTTGTAATTTTAAAAATACACTTTTGTTTGTTACATAAACAAAATTTTGGATTTCCGTGAAATATTTTTTCACTTCATTTGCAGTGAGCAAAATAGTCGAGTAGTATAAGAAATGAGGAAGAATGATAGTGTTGTACATATTTTTTGATTTTTTTGGAATAAACCCTTAGGCTATCCGAAGCTCGATAGAAGTAATTTATCTTTTTTGATATTTTTGAAAAAATATATTCATAGTGTCCTTCAAATTGATTTTTACGCTTGTACAGCAACAGCAAAGCAACCATTTGTTAGAATTGTGAAGGTATCTCAGTTCACGTTAACAGCCGAGTCATTACTACAGTTCCAACAAACAGTTGCTAATCACTTCGAAGTGGCCAATTTTGGTAGTACGAGTAGATGGTACACATGACTGTAGCTACAGATATAGCATGTGAATAGTGAATTAGCTGATCAAGCAGCAGGAATATGACTTCACAAATATGAGTTCCTGACTAAGCGTTTTACTTACCCTATCTGGTACATTCTGTGGTGAAATAGTCTAAGATTTAAAATCCTCTTTATTCAATGTTTTGCATAAAGATGTGACACATATTGTAATTGCAAACTGTCACAAATCCAAAATTAAAGGTTAAGAAAGATATGGTAATTAACATTTCAGAAGGTTAGATCACGAAATTATTATTCAGCGTGTTCTAAAATTAAGACAGTAATTTTCGTTTTCTAAAACTATGCAAAATAACTAAATGGAGGACGACCTAAAAAATTGAAAGTAACACAGAAAGGTATTAACTTTCTGTACAACTGCATGAAGGATTTTTGAGTCGATACAGAAATTAAAAAAAAAACACATATAAGAGGAAGAACGCAAATTGCTGGTAAAGTAATTTCACTCTAAAACTTCAACGACTGTATATATTGACGTGCATAACAAACGGATCATAGAGAATATAAGGTTCTTGATAATGTAAAGCATTGTGGTGTGATTGGCTAATGAAGTCACACCACAGGGTGATTCAAAGTTGGGGTAATGAAACATCATTTTGATTTGCCCTGTAAAATAAGTCAAACGGTGGCCATCGTCAAAAAATTAAATGTTAGAAAATCATTAAAATGGTGTTGAAAGTGAGAAACTTATAATGCTCCGGAGTTGATCAAACTTTTGCGTGTTGCGTTTATTTTGCCTTGAGTGTACAATGACTTATACATTATTCTCCCAGATATTTCAACACAATCTACTGTCTATTCTTTTGTTAATTATGTATCGTAGGCAGTAGTGTAATTTTAGTGAAATTGTTGACATTCAGTAGCTCATCAAAATTCTTTTCGCCAGATGTTGATTAAAATTACGATATACTGCAACAGCACCCCAGTAAGTCAAATTACCGGAACTCTTATTTGGGACTAATATAAATATTCCGATATTTCATGTGTCAGTTTTTAAAGCAAGGATATTTATCGAAAAAATGAGAAAAGCATTACATACCTAAAATTATTCCACCAAATTCTTCTTCATATTTAACAACATCTGATAGGAGGCATTGGATCATTTCTCTGTATTCATTGTTGCCAAACATTTTCTTGGTATATAAACCACATAGATACTGACTAATTCCTTTGTTCAGCCACAGATCTGACCAATTTTGCATAGATATGAAACAACCAAAGAACTGTTCAGCTATGGCGAGGGCCTGTGCTTTTCTTGATATGTATACCTTGAAACATTTGCAATAATTATATTGTTACAAACACAGCATAGAAGTATGACAAACATGTATTAGAAATTTAAGAGATATACAAAAATGCAAAAAACCTTTTATCCCAAACAGTAGATTCCAAAGTTACTTAATGAAAGATGACTATGACCAAAAAAAGCTTTACCTGGTCTATTATCACAGCTGAATGTAACAGGTTAACACTTAAAATACTCATTGTGGCATAAGACTGGTAGTCTTCATAAGCTTCATCAACAAATACCTGCTTGTAACACGAGTATGGATATCTGTTTGAAAGAGTTTCTTCATAAAATTCGAAAGCTTCATGCATATACCTAAAAACAGTATAAAAATGCAAAGTATTGCAGAATGTTGCGATAAGATAATAAGAATAGATTCAACATAGGTCTGGCATACTGGAAAAAGCAGGGACACATTCTAAAGACAAGGCGGATCGCGCGAGTTGTGATACTTCTTGTTCATAAAAAAGCAAAATGTCAAAATACAGTTTTAGGACGATAATATTGATAGTCAGTCTGAAAAAAAAAAATGGAAAATACCAAAATTGGATTTGTCAAAAATACTTCTTTATGTACCTAAAAAAGGGTTCAAATGAAGTGTTTTCGTTCTGGACAAAATTTACATTTATAATAGCCATTACAAAATATTTGTATCCGTTTTTCAAGGCGAATCAGTTTATCCCCCTTTTTCACTCGAGTAGGATTGAAAAAACAACGATGAATCATCTGTATATCCCGCTGAATAGTCAATAAACTGTAAATGTTAGAGAGGAAATGCTCTATTTTCTCACACCGGAGAAAATTCTAGTCTCTATGGCAAATGCAAGATGATATTCTGAGTACAAAGCCCCCAACATTACACTAGAACTAATTTGGAGCGAAATGTTATGTATGAGCTTTGGAAAAAATGATCTTCATAAAGTAGACTGATAATTCTCAATATACACTTTTTCGAAGCAATATTATATTACTATTCCGTCAATTGTTTTGGGAAATACCCAGTTAGGGCATGTATATTTTAGTTTAGTTTATCTCTGCACCTGTGGTACTTCCATGATATCGATGCACATTACATGACAGATGCTATCTATTCCCTTTGCTGAAATGTATTTTACTCACCTCGTTGTAACTTTCAGAAGTGGCAACAAATTCGGTAGACAGAAATGTGTGACCTCGTGCATGTAAGGATCCACGAATATTTCAAACGGCCCTACAGCGAGTGAAATATTCGGCGCGCAAGTCGGTATATTCAAAAAGTAATGGTACGTCTTCCTTCTCATATCCGGTGTGTAGACCACTTCCATGAGGTCGCCATTAGAAACGGCAGTCATGTCTTCATCTACTGTGAATTCCAGCTTCCAGGTGCATGGTTCCGCATAACTGTCCACACAAGGAAACCATAAGCGAGAGGAATTTTGGTGGCCATAGGTGAACATATGCACTCCTCTCTGAAACAAATAGATAGTGAAGACAATATGGAAGACGCAATATGTTTGTTTTTGCTTTCATGTCAATGCTTGGGACAGATTTCTAACACACTGGAAATAATTTGAATATTTTTGCATTCTTGTTTATTTAATGTGGAGTAATCTGATGCATCAGTAGCTGTTGGAACAAATGTGGGGCAAATTTGTCCCTCCTAAAAAAAGTTGGCTACACACATAATAGTAACAGACTGGGTAATGTCTATTCAAAAGACAACTTGAATCGAAACGTGTTCATTTACGTAAAGATTCGTTTAGAATTAATTTTTGCTTGCACCTTTCACTATTTTTGTAAATATGAAAATAAAATTTCTGTCAATGGTAAATGTATGGAAAATATGTGTAACTATTATGTTTAAAGGTGGGTAATATTAGGGAGATCAGAAACAGCCTAATCTTTCACTGATACTAGTTATGCAACATTTACACTCCCTACTCTCAACATCCTTCAATTATCAACCCCTTCAATAAAATTTCTGAAAATCCAAAGCTTCTTAGCATTGTGGTAACCTTCTCTCATAATTCAATCACCAGTTAGCGACCGTTCAAGTATTACGTGAGCACTATGGGGGGGTCTTTGCTTTGCTTATTTTGGATGACATGGGGGGTAGGGGAGTCTAGATGATGATTACGTCATCGGTAGTTATTTACTTTTTTACACGAACGGCAACCCTCACATTGTCTTTGCTTGAAAACGAAACGCATTTTCTGGGATTCCCGCAAATAATGCATACGTTTAGCGAACAGCGCGCGGCAATTCCCCTACTCGCTTTAGAACCGCGCGGTTGTCTAAATTTCCTCTATCAGTGTATTGTTTCGTTTGGATACTATAGCGAGTAGACGTATTGTAAGCATAGTAAAGCAAGTTAACATTTGTGTTACCATTGATTCCATTAGCCAAAGTTTAATGTTTAAATAAGATGTCGTTTCACATAGACAAATCCAAGTTATACCAAAAATTGTTTGAAAGTTTTAAAAAATCTCATACAAGTACGAAAGTACAAAATGTACAAAAGTTAGTTAACGAAGTGTGGCGAAATTACAAATTACAAGCAAAATCCGACAAGGAACTAGATATTATTGTATTTAAGAGAATCGAAGAAGAAGAATTGCAAGCGGCGACTAAGAATAAATCCAATCTACTAATTTTTTTTTCTAAGGTGAGTGACGAAATCATTTTAGGTGCCTATGAGTACTAGAAATATTTGAAATCGCCAAAAAGTTTCTCTTTACTGATTAGAAAATATTATGGCCTATCTCAAAGTTAATAAGTTAATATTCATTATATTATAGATTTATTTCTTATGATTGATTCCGTCAATTGGTCACAAAGTACAGGATGTTAGTTTTATACATATATACAGATATGAAGGCACTGACGCTTACTTGTGTATCAGCATATGTTCCACAAGTAACTTTTAACTTCTATACAGGGTGTCCGCAAAGTTGGGGTTTTCCTTTACACGACGTGTAGATCTTGAAAAGATAAGCAATTTTTCTTAGTACCATATACACCAATGTCTTAAGGGAACCGAGATAAAGGGCTCTGCAACATCAAAAATATCTGAATACCGTCCTGTAGCCGCGACATCCCCGACTGGTACTAGGACACTAGCTCAACCCGACGACAGAACTGGGTCGGGGTCAGTGTTCAGGTCAGTATGCAACCTTCAACCGACGGTTACGGTCACGCGTCTAGAGGTAATCGCGTAGACGAGAATCCCTCAACAAGCACTATAGACGTGGCTAGATAAGTGCAAGTATCAAAAACTAAAGTGTGGCAAACGCTTCGTGAAGAGGGGCTGTATCCGTTTCACGTCCAACGTGTACAAGCCCTTCAACCTGACGATTTTCCAGCAAGAGTGCGGTTTTGTGAGTGGTTGTTGCATCAACATGACAATAATCCGGACTTTTTGAAGTGCATATTGGTGACAGACGAATCTACGTTCACGCGTAATGGGGTGAATAACTTTCGCAACACTCATTTGAAAAGTCAGTAGAAAATCCGCACGCTGTCCGTCGGGCACATTTTCGGTGAATGTTTGGGCTGGCATGGTGAACGGTATGCTCATTGGACCATTTATTCTCCCAAATCGATTGGACGGGATGCAATACCTAGACTTTTTACGCAACATTTTGCCTTCCTTGTTTGCCTGCGTCTGCTCGGTAGTGCATCAGCTGATTTCAATTTCTGTTGGAGCGGTACTTAGCCCTTCTCGTCAACTGGAGAGTGAGTACTTTTTCCTTTATTTTTTTTTACTTGGTCGCCCTCGTTTCACTACACATTACCTTTGTTATTTCAAGGGTAGTTGTTTCTGAAAAGGAAAACCACAACTTTGCGGACATCCTGTATATCGATAAAACGTTAACATAAGAACACTGTAGTAAACCTTCTTATGTGTTTCTAGGAGAATGTTTATTCTTGCATAATGGATATGCTTCCAACTCAAAGGACACCCAGTATATGGTACGCCAGATGGAAATGCCCGCATTTGATTTTTCAAATAGACTTACCTCTGCATAAGTGCCCTCTTTTGGTGGCACAACAAAATGTATGCCACCTTGTGGCTGCTCCAATGAAAATTCAATTCCTACTCTCAATGCAGTACCCTCAGCTACAAGATGTCCTGCCTCTGGAGGTATTGTTACCACCAGCTCCCCAGCGCAATTGTCTGGGTCAACTTTTAGTGCAGCATTTAGGTGATGGTTGGAAAATACATCCAAACTTCTCCTGAAATATTTAAGCATTATGTACTTTCTTCAATTAACATATTCCACCTAAAGATTTCCAACTCTATACTGTATTCCAGCGTCCAAAATGAAATCTGCAATATCCTAGCGCCATTCATAAGATAGTAGTAGATCACAAAAAGGAATTTAGAAATATACTTTTAAAATAGTTAGTGTTTGTTTCTGCTACTGCATCAGGAATGGCATACAATCTTCAAATCCTTACTATGGCGCTAGTATCTTTCCCCTTTTGGACGTCGGAGTATAATATAAGGTTGGTTATCTTTAGATAGAATATGTAAATTCATGAAATAAACAGTATTTTTCGTTGTAGGGGCTACTATACATGTTATCAATATGGAAGAATATTTCAAAAATGTCTTATTGTGGTTTTGCAACCGATACAAGTAATTAACAGGAATATTTCAATCAAAAAATTAATAGATTTTAGGAAATTGTCTGCTGATGTATATATATATATTCTACTCCTTGAAGTTTAAAAAGTTTTGAAAATCGGACCAGTGGCGGCGGGGTTACGAGAGAAAATGATAAATTTCAAAATGTCTCCAATCTTTGTTCTTTGATTTTTTAGTTTCTGGTAATTTAAGACCATAATCAAAAACTGATGGAGGGGTTACAAAAATCCTAACACCTTTTATGGTGATCACTTTAGGGCATTATCAAATAAATCTTTTGATGAGATACATATTTTCAAGCCAGTATAGCTTATTACCGACAAACAAACCGACTGAAATGAGTAACATGATTTTCCTGATGTAGATGTCATGTAACATAAAATAAACATATCTCATTTCCGAAATTCTTCGCGATTCCAATACTTGTTCGCCAGTGGTGTAGGAAGTAAAATAATGCCACAAGTTTTTATAAGTTTTGAATGACACTGTATAATTCAACGAATATGTACCTTTGTTTCACGTCGACAGAATGAGCAGTTTTTTGTAGAACTTCATGACTTCTGCGGCCATGATGACCTATTTCAAATTATTCTTCCAGGTGACAGATCATTTGTTTTTTATTTTCCTCACCTACTATACAATGTTTGCCGAATAGCCTGAACGGCCCTGTGTCATGTCGAGATTGCGCGAAGCCATCATTACAATTTTAAGACGGTACTGCAGCAAAGTGCGTTTTTGATTTACCAGACACGGCACCCCTCTCACCGTCCCGAAAACGCAAAATGTGTTCCAAAAACGCGAAAAACTCACCCAGAACAGTTGTTGCAACATACCAGTTAACCCCATGCTCGTTTGTCGATTTGGAGGATACATACTCGTATATCATTTAATTTGATCAGTAGATCATGGAGTTATATCAACATGACAACCAGAGGATAATTTTCAGTTGTTACATTAACACATTTTGAAAATGCTAAATATGTTAATTGCTTTCGATGGACATAACTAAATGAGGCCCAATCAATTACCGCGCTACCAAATTTCGTTGACTTATCAGGCGATGTACAAAAGTTTTTTGATGAAAAACTGATTTACGGTGGCTTCATTCAGGGTCCTACAGGACACTCTTTTCATGAGAATTAGTGGTTTGTGGGTTTATTTTTGTGTTTTCAATATGCATCTGAAAGATCCATATCTTATTTTGGGACACCTTGGGTATAGGGAGCTTCGCCTGAATATCACAGTTCTTCCACGAGGAAGTAATTACTTCAGTTTACAGAGATTACATAAAAACATCTTGGTTTCATTTCACACAAAAAAAGTATTAATACAAACATTTTTGGATTTCAGATATTTTCTTCAATTATACATATGTACATTGCGAAAATCCATGGTATTAATTTTCATCAGTGTTACAAGCCATCATTTTTATAACTTCATACACTTAGTACTATAATTGAAAATTAGTGCAGTCAGAGATGAGAGTTATGGGCAAAAAAGTTACAAACATGGAGTTAATATTATTTTTAAATTATGGCCTTTAAACTTGCTAGTATAGCAAAAATCATAAGCAGTAAATTATTAGATGCCAATTGATTTTTAATATTATTTTGCAGTTTTACAAATAAGAATGGAATCATTTTATTGAAAAAATGTGTTTAACTCTCCACTGTTCAGGGTGGCCAACTAAGAATGTGAGGTACTGGATCGGGGAACCTATCCATCATAGGCTTTCGGAAAAAATTGTTTGTTGTATCTCTAAAAATAAAGTGGTGGGGGGGGGGTATTTAAAGGTTTTCGTAAAAAACACCCTGTATCCTCGAAACGCCTGACCGATTTTAACAAACTTGTGCTAGTTGAAAAGGGCTATATTGGGCTAAAAATATCATAATATTTGAAGTTTTGTTAGTTTCACATGTCGCCGCTAGAGGGCTTTTTCGATACTCCGACATAAGTGGTTAATATTCTCAAATTTATTAAATGCAGTGGTACGATTTTTTTATGAATGTTTCTTCTAACCTAAAATTTAGGCCTAAGAAAAAATTATACGGAAATGCCTTGAATTTTTACTTTTTTAAACTATTTTTTCTGGAAGTCTTTCTTATCCTTCAGAATAAAATCACCCTTTTTGAAAATATTACAAAATATCGCTAAAACCTAAGTAAGTAATGCTTATAACAAAAGGCATATTTTTGTTTAAAAGCACTATGGGTACATATACGAAAAAGAATTAATAAAAGCAGGCCATAGAATACAACAAAATAATACCTAATCAAAACATCAATAATCCTCAAATTGTCAATAGTTGCGCGTTACTTTGAGAAAATGATTGTGCGCTTCTCAAATGCGTTTTACGAACGATGAAGCTGTTGATATACTTGCAGTTTATTTTGAATGTCTTCAGAATGCCGCAGTAGCAAAAAGATTTTACGCGACTCGATATCCAAATCGACGTGTTTACGATGTGACAGTTTTTCCCCGATTAGAGGCGAGCTTCGAACCAATGGTGGTTTTTGGCCTACGTTCCAACGGCAAAGAATCGAAGAACACAAGAAAATATTAACCGCGTAGTGAGATATATTGAAGGAAATCCTCATGTTAGCACAAGGGCATTATCCCTCAAGTTGCGTATATCGGTTAAAAATATTTTGAAGAACCATAAATTTAACTTTTTTTATTACGTTTTGATTGCACCCATATCATGTCGATTTGCATCAGGCCTTGAAAGAGGATGACTTGATTAGAGGTTGGACTATTGCCTTTAGATGTTAAACATGAAACGCGAAAATAGAGATTTTTTATTTCAAATTCTTTGGACCGATGAAGCCACGTTTAATAGTGACGGAAGACTCAATCTGCACGATATATGCATTGGTCTGCAGAAAATCCGATTTGGTTGCGTGAAGTTCAGCACCAAGGGCGTTGGAGTTTAAATGTGTGATGTGGCATACTGGGAGGCAGAATTATTAGGAAATATTTTTTCAAGCAATCCCTAAATGACATTGTCTTTCTTGACTTTTTGAACAGTCGTTGGTGCTCTCGCACTTCAATTTTTCTGATATGTTGTATGGCCCGTGCTTAACTGCCACTTACAACAAAAAATTCAGGTTGCGCAGAATTCTTGCCTCAGATTAATATATGGCATCAGAAGACGAGACCGAATATCGCATAAGTTGAAAGATGCGAATTGGTTGAACATGGAAACAAGCAGATTTTTGCATGCCGCAACATTATATCATAAAATAATTTTGTATAAGACCCCCACTTACTTATTTGAAAAAGTTACATTTCGAACAGATGTGCATAACATCAATATAAGATCCAGGGGGTTGTTGACACCGCCGATATTCCGAACAGCCCAATTCGAACGATCGTTCAGCTACCAAATTTGTTCCATTTATCCTTCTGGTACAATATAAAACTCTGAGCATCTCAAGTTCCAAAACTCACTTAAAAAATATCTCTTATCCCAGCAGTAGTAACCATGTTTCAGGAAAATATTGATACAAGTTTATGTTTCTTTTATAGTAGATGTATTAATGTAAGCACTGCATATACATTTAGTAATTGTAATGTGTAAAATAAGTAGGTCTCACTCACCTTTTGTACAGACTTTTTATAGCGGGTTAAGTGGAAGAGCAGCTACAGCTGAACTTCGCCCGTATTTGGCTATTTTTATATACTCAGTCTATTTGGAAATAAAGACGTTTATTATTATTATTATTAATTACCATTGTTGTAAGATGTGCCACTGAAACACAGCAAAACTTGTTTTTGCAGTTGGACGGTTGTCAGGAGATTTTGCTAATATTGTGTGAAATCATATTAATGCAGTATTTCAACAGTGGTGGATTGGAAGAGGAAGTTTGTTCCATGGCCTTCACGATCACCAGACTAACTTGTCTTGATTTATATTTATGGGGATGGTTAAAGTACATCATAGAACTGGGATCGTAATGCAGTATATGGGCGTTTCTCTGTAAACTGGTCAACTTATTTGGAAAAACTGTCTTGCCCACTTTTTTGCTTAAATGTTTGAAACATCTTACTTAGGAGATGTATACTTTCAAGCTTAATGACAAACCACGGGGAACCCAAAAATATAGGTCATAATTTAGGAAATATTAAGCATTTTCTAAATTATTGACACAGGGGACTGTCAGTTATGGCGTCCCCTGTGTACTCAAATTAAAAATACCAATATATTAGCAAAATTAAATATTTTATTTTCTCTAAACTTGGAAATTAACAATTATAGTAATTCTTCGGTAAACTACGAAAAAAATCAATACTTTTATTATTCTCTTGTTACAGGTACAAAACTTTGTAAGCTTAAGGTAACATAATCAGTATTTTACACACAACCATTAGTTTTACGAAGCTTAACGTTTTTCAAAAACATTAATAGGTGGATCAAATGTATAAAATAGTCTATTTTTCCCTTAGAAAGTATGTTTGGATTAGGTAATTTTTCTATCACTTGATCCATTGTAATATCTGCTATATTGTCCGGATCCATTCTAAATGTTTGACCTTTATTTATTTTATAAAGCTTTAAAAATGTAACTCGAATTTCCCCATCTTCATCATTTTTGTTTATTACGCTTGCATATCTATATTGCATATTTTTTGAGACTAATTCGACTAGGATGTAATCTGCATTGATGAGTGCTTTAGCTGCGGAAGATCTATTTTCATAGTTTAATTTTCCGATGTTAAAGTGACGGCAACCATCTTTGTTACAAAAGCAGCTTAGATATTTCATCACTATCCCAACTGACTCGGATTTTAAGTCCAAAGAGTTATAGAATTTTCCGACGACGCGTCCTCCGAGTAGTTTTGCTTTTTTTATTCTTCTGTAATTAATCACTTTTGTGTTTTCCATACGCCATAATTTGTATTTTTCCACTAGTTTTCTGAATACTACTTTGGTCAAAAGTGTTTTTTCTTTCAATGTTTCTATGTTTGAGAAGTTTTCTTGTAATTGTTCTTTTAACACCTCACCAAACAATGCCTTCTTGACTAGATCTTTCTTAGTTTCTGGACTATCTGCTAGTTATCATCTTTACACATTTTTCTTTCCTTTTTCATCAGTCTCAAACACATTTCTATGTTTCAATAATTTTCTTTTTAGTAATTTAATCTCATCTTTTTTCTTTTTTATTTGATATCTAAGTTTCTTCTCCCTATTAATTGGTTTTTTGAACATATCAACATCTTGAGGTGTTGTTGGTCGGGATGAGTGCGATGTTTCGAATCTGGTGTATTTTCTCGCAGATAAGTGTTAGTTATATTTGTCAACGCTTTCTTCTTATTCTGATAAGCAGAACAATGCTCTCTCCATTTCTTTCTAGCCTCCCGGTGATCTCGTGGCGTCATATCTTTAACAAGCTTCCTAGTCCCCTTTTCTTTTTCTTTTTTAAGGTATTTCAGGTGTCCCTTTTCTCTTAGCTCTTCCCTTCTCTGCGGGTCGTTCTTGAGGCGCTCGTACTTTTTCCATTCAGCATCCCTTTTCTTTTGTAAAATTTCCTCCTTCGTCTGTGTTTTCTTCCTTGGTGCCAGGTTGTAATAGTGCCTATAACAATGCTACATACACATTAGGACAGTCCTCTGGAAGTAAGAACAGTCCTGTTTAAATGCAGGGGACTGTTGCCACGGGACTGTTCAGTTAGATTAGATTGATAAGTAGCACAATACAGTATCCATTTGTTTTATTTTGATGCATACAATTGAAAATTATCTATTTGAATAAAGTACATCATGTGAAATATGACTTAAAAACACAGAAAGGAATTTAAATATTTTTTACCAGAGGACTGTAGGCTTTTAGGTTCTGACGCGGATAACTCGGAGCAACACGTGTGCAGCACTGAAGAAGATGGCCTCAGGGCCGCTCTGGTAGCAACCGCGTCAACTTCACTCTGTTCGCGTTGCGTTGAACGCAATAAAACGATATTTTGCGTTCTAGGCGTTATGCCACGTCATTTGAAATATACACAGGGGACTAATCGCTATATAGTGTGACCAACTCAAACTAATCTGTTTTTTCTTTTTTAATAGATAAATGAAAAAATAAGCACTGTTAGTAATGCCGACTGTATTATGTTTAAATTAATACTTTAATTAGTCAATTTCTAAACTTATTTGTTTCAATACCTGAATCAGAAGCCATTGCACCGCTTTGGTGACATACCAGAGCACTGTTTTTTGAGCATTACAACAATGTTTTTAGAATATTAACAGAAGCTTATATAGATAATTCATACTAAGGACAGGTGGACTAGATCCTTATGTTTCGAAAATAGTAATGAAATAAATAATAATCTCTTCTATTTTACATTATTATGGTAGGAGACAACGAGTTGACCACTTTACAGAGAAACCCCCATATAACATTCCGAGAGCCGAAATTGATGCTGCAGTTTTGTCAGCATTTCGAGCAGTTATGGGGGCATTAAAAACCTTTCTTTTTTACAGCGGTCATTTTTAGGGCCACAACTTGATAATTACTTGGCCATTTTTGTAATAACTGTTTTTGCCACAAGCCTCTACGATGGATATATTCCCAGATACAGTACCTCACGTTCTTAATTGGCCACTATGTACAATGATCACTGCTTGTCTCTACCATCAATAAAGCATAATGACGAGCTGATGCTTTTGAAAGGGGCTGACAATATATTCAGCTCAACCATATCAGGGTTTTTGCACATTCAGCACAAAATAAATCACATGTTACACAAACAATTGTTGATTGTACTTAAAAAAGGGACTGAAATGTACAATGAAGAGGAATTTTAAACATATGTGGTTAGATTTAGCTGGACAAGCATGGGGGACTATAACACAGTGTGTTAGTGGGTCTATTGGATCAAATTAGTAGATGAATGCTTACGTGTCTGTATCTGTCTGGCAGATATCCAGAAATGGGTCAAAGTACTGGAAGTGGGCTTCATAGTGATCATTGAGAATAATTCTATAGATCCTACATTGCTTAGCATTGAGCTTTATAACACGTAAGTTATCTTTCAAAGGTACAACTGTTAGCTCCACAAATCCCTGAAACAAATAATCAATAGAACAGTAGAAGCAGGGAGAAGTGCAACTGCTTACTATTATACTTTTCCTTTCAAAGCTGATCCCAGTTAAACTAACAATTTGATGAGCTGTGAACATAAATTTGAATAATTATTGTTTGTAAAACCTGAATGTAAAAAGGCTAAAGTTGAATGGGATACTTATAATTTAAATGGTCTACAGTTATCCCCAGTCTTCTCTTTACTCATTTTGTGTTCATACAATTTAGAACTTAGTTTTCAACTTGCTACGTGCGTTTCTTTTCCTGTTTATGGCTGATTTTTGGAAAGTATTGTTTTCATGCACAAAAGCACAAAACATATACATGCAACATGCAAGTATATAACCTAGAAGTACTCGGAAACATAACACATATACACTTGAAGAAGGTACAGTCCTGTGCTATCCATAGGGCAACACAGTTGATTCATGTCAGTGACAAGCGCCATTTTTCTGATTGCCTGATTATGCACGAACCTGAGACTGTTGTATAATTTTATAATACGAATACCCATTTCTAATGATAAATGGAAGCTTTTATAACGCCATGTGTTATTAACCTATGTTTGCTGTTTTGGCAAATAAGAAGTCATTTATCAGTTAAAGCAGTAGTATCACAGGTCATCATAAAATCATCTATACGAGGGAGTAAAAAAAAACGGAATTATTTTAAAAGCTATTTATTTTCAATTTTTTCACAAAGTAACCTTAAATCCTTCAAAATAATGTCCACTACAATTAATACACTTGTCCCACCGGTGCTTCCACTGTTTTTCTTGACCTCTTGAATGTCGTCAAAGCGGCGTCCATACCATTTTTAGCCAGAAACTGTCGAACAGAGACGGCTGTATGCGCAGGTGCATTATCGTGGTGGAAGAACCATTATGCCGATTTTTGTGACATTATGCCGATTTTTGTGACATTATGCTGTTTTCTTTTGACATTATGTAGGTTTGTCTATAAGATGTTAGCTAAGCACTTAGTTGTAAGTGTTGCCTAAACGTCATAAGGCTTGTTATCAATCTTTGGTTCTGATGTGATGTAAAATCTGCTTCTGAGATGCCATTACTGGAGGTCTAAGCTGTAAGTTGTATGTGTTGATGATAATTACATTGGGTTCTTGTCTCAAATACACTTAATTGAGATTCAAAGCTAGAAATTAGTTGCGCATCCACTTTTTCTTATCCAGTCTGGAAATTATATAAAATTTGCTGAATTTAAAAAATGAGAGAGATAAGAAATAGTTATTTTCACTGTATACTGTCGAATTACAAGTCATATATGTACATGCAAACAGTAATTACACACAACGCGAGCCGGTGATGATTTCCCGTAATTCTCCTCAGTTTTTCGTAATTTATAACTTTGAACATAACCTCTCTTCAGAAACCACAACATAAAAGTAACCCGTCGGACACAGTCAATAGATATACTTCATTGGCAGCATATTCAGTAATGATTTTCTCACACAGCAAATATCACTGATTTTATACACATGCAGACCAATAATGATTTTATACACATAATCATCCAGATGCGATCTTGCTATTCAACCAACTTTCGTCTCAGAGATAAAAACTACATACTAGGACCATATGGCCTCACAAAACATATGCAACCAATAATGCGTGTAGTTTAGTTGGGTAATTCCTCATTAGATGGACGTTCACAACAATCCTAGTGAGCAAACGTGAAATGACTGTTTGCGCCCTAAAAACTACCTAGTTTGCAAGATGACATCTTATAGGTTTTTTTTGACGTTTTATAGGTTTTTTACATGATACCCCTGCGGTTCTTTTTTGCCGAACACTGTTTCGCAATCATCTTAAAACCACCAAATAAAAGGTCTCATTGACAGTGTGACCTGGGGGAACAAACTCGGAATGGACCACGCCTTTGTCATAAAAACACAAATCACCATTGTTTTGATTTGACTTGACATTTTTTGGACGGGGTGACGATGGCGTCTTCCATTGACTTGACTGTTGCATCGTGTCTGGGTCATAACCGTAGCACAAAGTCTCATTACCAGTGATGATCTTTAACAGAAAATTTGGATCAGATTCAAGCTGTTGTTTCAAAGCACGACATGTTTCAACTCGGTGTTCTTTTTGATTGTCAGTCAAAGCCGGAGGAACAAACTTGGCAGCACCCCTTTTCATTCCCAAATCTTCTGTTAAAATTCACTGAATCGAACTCCAGGACAACGCACCAATTGGATAGTTGATCGATTGTCAGTCGACGGTCTGCAAGCACAACATTTCTCAACATTTTTGTCGATTCGGGCAGTTGATGGACGTCCAGAACGAGGTTTGTCACCAATAGACATGTCGCCATTTTTAAATGGAGCAAGCCACTCGTACACCTGAGTTTTTCCCATAGCATCATCTTTGTAAGCTACTTTCAACATTAAAACAGTTTCAGCAGCATTTCTAGCAATTAGACGGCAAAATTTCACAGCTGCACGTTGCTCACCGAACCTTGCCATCATAAAAAAGAAACAAGCACGAAACAGCTCTAGCAAAGATAATGACTACAGAGGAACGATGTAAGCCAGATCGACAACTCAGATGGCACTGAACTGGGAATGAGTTGCGCTGTACGCCTGTAGGGGCAGAAATGTGTACTACACAAGCTCCGCCCACTGCAATGCTATTCCGGTAATTTTTGGGAACCTCCTCGTATATCCTAGTTATTTGAAGTTTTGAGAACAATGAAAAATCTTACCTTATTGAGAAAATATTTTTATCTAAATTTTAAATTGTATGAACATATCAATAATATCTATGGCGCAACTATTTTCATTCCTGGTGTTGGTCTTCTGCAGCACCTGCATGGAAAAATTGTTAAAATCAGTGATGAAAACAAATTCTCTTTAACGACAGCAAGGTTACTAGAGTTAGGAGATTTTTCATAAGAATTATAATACAGGAATATCTAATCACATTCCCATGACATTGATAATCATCAGATTGTAAAAGTTTTGTGAAAAATATGATTATATATAGTTTAGGAATTTCTACTGCATCACTAAAATATATCATACTTCGTAGAAGATTTTATATGATTCAAGCATGTGACTGTTGGATCAAGTAGAAATGCTTAGTAGTCGTAATGTTCTAATAAATCATTCCAATATGGGATATCTTTCTATCTTTAACTTTTTTTCCAAGGATTCAAGATGCTCTGTTTTTTTATTACTGTCCCCTAGAATAAAACGAGTTGTTTTCTTATACAGTTTCACCAACATGTTAGGTCTTATACTCCAGATTCCAAAGTTCATCAGATCAACAAAATAATGTAGTTTAAATAAGAACGGCTTAAATTATAATAATGAACAAAATTTACGAAAAACCTACCTTTGACGCCATCCACCACAAAACATCCACATAAAAAAGAGGTTAGGTAACTTCGGTTTTCAGCGGGAATTTAAAAAATGGCAATACCGCTTTGTTGACCATCTCCGTAAATTCCTCATGTGTAAAATTTGTAAAACGACCACGAAACTTGACGCATGGACAGGTTTGCCGTATTGCCAATATTAATACTTCATATTCGCCCAATAATCAATGACAAATTCCCCGAATTTGGAAACAAAATACTGCGGATTCCCCTCCAAATTATTTAAGAAATTAAATAAGTCAAACCTATTTAAAAATATGTCTACTTTTTATTGTTCAAATCACACTTTTCCCATGTACTTGTTTTAAGCATGTTGCTTGCTGAATTAAACTTCACACTTCCCTTATCGATCTTCGGGTGGAAATCTAGTTAAATTTGCTTGTAGCGTTTTTTGTATGTAAATGAACTTTTCTGCATAAAAGAGTTGTTATTAACTACATACAAAATGAATCTGTAGCGTAGAAAAAACCAAAACAAAATACGGATCCATCAGAGTTATGTGTCATTTATCGATATGGGGAATTTTTAAAAATTACTAGGAAATCAAACATATATCAGTTTATTGGTGGCACAGTTTTACGTTTGGGTTCTGCGATATTTTCTGTTTTAGAAGTGAAGCATTGTATGCGCAGAATCATCCTTTAGTCCCCTGATTTTTTTGCAAAGCTATGCCATAAAGATGTACTACAACATATATATGAGTTTGTTGGTGGCACAATTCTTAGTTTAGGTTCTGCGACTTTTTCCTGTTTTAACTAGTGAAGTCTTGTATGCGCAGAATCGCCCGGTAGTCCTCTGAATTTTCGCAAAGCTGTGCCATTCAGATGTACTCCTATGCGGTATCTATAATATGTATGAGTTTGTTGCTGGCACAATTTATCGTTTTTGCGCTTTTTTTATGTTTTTAAGCAGTGAAGTTTTGTATGAGCAGAATCAGCCTGTAGTCCCCTGATTTTTTGCAAAGCTATGCCATAGAGATGTACAGTTCTATTCATAAAAAAAGCGTACACGAATTAGAATGAGAGGAAACCTTAACCTTATTTGCGTAAAACCGGCTTGTCTAAATGATTGTTTATTGGAGGTTATCACACGTCGTAGATTGTCAAAAATGCAAAGCATTGACGTCGGTGTAATTCATTTCGAAAATGCGTGGTGGTAACGTTTGATAAACTTTGACAGAAGAAAATAAAAATGCCTCGTCAGTTGTCTGAAGTTGAAAAGGCTCAAATTGTATCAAGAATCGAAGAAGGATGGTCAATCCGTGCTGTAGCGCAGTTGTATAATAGAAATAAAAAAACCATATTGAAAATTAAGCAACGCTGGGAACAGGAAGATTCCCTAAAGAGGAAAATTGGTTCAGGTCGTCGAAAACTTACCAACCCTGAACAGGATGCTGCTTTTTTGGGATATTTAAGAAATAATCCATTTGCAACTGTAAGGGATGCTGTATTGATACAGCATTTCCTGCCTCCCAACCGACCGCCAGCAGGAGAGTAATGAAATCTGAACTAAAATGTCACCCTGCTGCGAAAAAAATTTTTCTTAACGAAGAACGGCGACAATCAAGGATTATTTTTGCTTTAAATTATATATACCGCAATCCTCAATTTTGGAACAGGGTCATTTTTACTGATGAAAAGACGTTCCAGTCGACTTATAACGGCCAAATTCGTGTTTACCGTCCAAACAATACCAGGTTTGAAGAGCGATATACTAACCCCCTCAATTCTAGACCTGGGCGTTTCTCTGTAAATGTATGGGGCTGGATAAGTGTTCATGGACCTGGTGTTTGCTGGCGAATAGAGGGAAGATTAATGCCAGAAACTACATTAACATTTTAGAAAAACATATTGTTACCAAGTGCTGAGCAAATATATCCCAATAATACGTTCATATTTCAACAAGATAATTGTCCAGTTCATACGGCCAATGCAGTAACCCACTGGTTTCAAACCCATAATGTGGAAGTGCTGCCTTGGGTGGCTTATAGTCCCGATATCAATCCAATCGAAAATATTTGGGGTATAATCGTAAAAAAAAATATATAATCGAAATTTTAGGCCACAAAATTCAGAAGATTTATGGGAAATAATACATGCGTGCTGGGAAAAGCTTGATCCAAATATTGTATCAAATATAATTCAGTCAATTCCGGCTCGAGTAATAGAAAAAACAGGGATATATGACCAAATATCAGATTTTATTTATTCTTGTTAATCGTTTTTTGTTTCTATTGTAATTTTTATAAAACTGTTAAGATGTAAAATAAAGAAATACATTTTTGTTACTGTATTGAACTAATGCCCGACGCCCATCTTTGCATTTTTAATAACCTTTAACATGCGATAAGCCGGTTTACGCAAATAAGGTTAAGGTTTCCTCTCATTCTAATTCCTGTACGCTTTTTTTATGAATATAACTGTACTTCTATCTGGTCTCTATGTATGAGTTTGTTGGTGGCACAATTCTTTGTTGATATTTTGCGATTTTTTAGTTCTATATGTACTCCCGACATAAACCTGTCGTTTGACAGGTGTTCAATATTTACACCCGTGGAACAATTAGGTCTAATAACCAGTGGCGGATTTAGAGAGGGGGCGCGCGCCCTTCTAGAAGTCTGACACTTGCTTTTGTAATCTAACACCATTGTGTTACTTTCTGACACATATGGTGACAGAGACATACTAAGTATAAGTTACAGCTATAGGAACTGAGCATTGCGATTTTTTGTATCCTTTGCTATTCCAAATGCTGTCCCTCTTTGACATCACTTGTTTGCAGCACAATTTTTACGATTTATACGTATATACGAGTATTGTGACTTGTGACAAATCTAAGTCTGGGTAATATATTAGTTATACAGATTGCACTTAGAAAGTGAATCATGTTCTGGTTGTTGCTCAATAGTGATTTGAAAAGTGTGTAAAAGCTTGACAGATTTTGTTCGGGTTTGGTGTTGCAGCGAAGCACTGTTAGATGAACGCCTAAATTGGAAATAGACATTTATGAGATGCATCGATCGATGCTCAAAGTCAATAGCACACGTCCCGCATCTCTTCTCGCGTATGTGTCTATTTATGTTGCTATATTGAATTCGTTTAAATCACAGAGCTACTGCACTAATATATACGTGAATATGTACAGCCCTGTATTAATGTACCTGTTTCGGACAAACATATATTATTAAAATAATTACGATCTAACAGATATAGTTTTTTTCCAAGGATTTCCAACATTTTTACATGCGATCAACACCGTTCGAACACTGAGAAAACAACAACTATGCCGTAAATCTAAGCACGACAACGAAAGTCTGAAAAATAAACTGTAACATCTATATTGAATTTCAAAAATCCCAACCCCTACTGAGCGGGGCCGTGGCAAATGCTTCTTCCGGAAGTTGTTGTATCCAGCATACAACTTCTTCCCGTTCAAGTGATTGAACACGCGTTGAGGAATCAGTACCGATTGCCGGGTGGCGGTACAAGTCCGCCAACGGGCCACTTTAGGTCTATTTAACATCATTAACACGCAAAAAGAAAGTGGTAGACAAGGACCAGTCGACCCAGGCGGTACCACCCTATAGCTTTTCCCAGGGTGTCTTATACATGTAAATATCCGCATGTTTCCACACCTAAGCCAGGCAGTCGGTTATCTTCCAAAACAACGAAATTAATGATGATGGATCCCTCGAGTACTAAGAATTCCGGATGTAAGCTCACTCCACTCTCAGAATGTCCGGGTGGAGGGTGGACTCGAGGGAACAACATCGAAGATAAAATTTGTTTCACGAACATCTGCGGGATTGATGCTGTTCATCACTACTTGCAATCCAATCGTCCCTCCATGTTTTTCTTGGCGGAGACAAAAATCTCAGAGTCCGCACCGATTAAACCATCTTAGCTTACCAAATTACGAGGTGAACTCCAATCTGAGAAGAACGAGGGAGTTGTGGCCTTTGTTCGCAGCAGTCTTTCCTGCTGCAGAGACGCTTCTCTGTAATCAGACCGGAAGGACATTCTGTGGCTTCGCTCAACTCCAAAGCATCCTCCAAATTTATTTGCTGCCTGTATCGCTCTCCCCTCGGACCGTAACTGGGATGACCTTCTTGAATCCCTCGTCGTCAAGATCGACTTCCTGAACATCAATCACCCCGCTTCAGTGGTAGTTCTCCTCGTTGATTTTAAGATTTCACTTCCCGGATATTTATTATACACGTATATTATAGAACAAAACTGCTTAGAGGGAAGTTTTGAACCGGTAATTTGATGCTTTACATCCCCTATTAGAAATATTTCCATTTAGAACTACGTAATTTCTTCGAAATGCTGACTGAACGAAAACAGTGCGTTTACTAATAGAACAAGCGAGGACTGCAATACATTAGCTAGCGCGCGCCTAATATGCAACTCAGCACGAGTTGCGCAGGTTCTAGGTACATAAAACTTTATTTACAATTGTTTTGACATTGTTCAAGCAAAATTAGAGGGTATGCGTTCGAAAAATAGAACTTTATTTTTTTTTGAGATACCCTACTATCCACCTCACTCACACTCACACTCAATTATTTATCAGTACGATCACCACAACTACTTCAACTACATATGAAGGACTGGTGACTACACACGTAACTGTATATTTGACAAGTATGCTAGTAGAAATTTTTTGGATGCATGCGGCAACAAACAGACTTGAAGCGTAACATTTTAAAGCAGAATGATTGACTATTTGTCTGCTTTCGTCTTTACTCCCAAAAAAAGTTACATAGACGCAGCATCTGGTGAAAATAGTGACAAGCTCAGTTTCTAAATACAAAAATAGATTTGCAACTTGTACAAGTAACTGTATAGATCTCTTCTGTTTTGGTGGAATTAAGTTTTAATGATATACGAAAATGTCAAAATAAGGAAAACTTGTGTTGCCTGGGAATACTTCTTCAAAGTTACAGATAAGAAAACTGACGAAATCGATAGTGCAATTTGTGAACTACGTAAAAAACATTTCTTTGGAGGAAAACAGCGAATACATCAAATATAATCTTTCTAAATACTATCACACAGACGAGTATACCAAAATCCAGTCATTAAACGCTTCGTCTAAAACTGAATCGAGGAAATGGCCGTTACATTATTGCTATATTAAAAGTTGTGTTTAATTCAACGGCATTAAGCGTTGTTAATTTTAAGAAGTCCATATTGTTTTAGCAAAATGGAACCATATATGAAGAAATTACTTTCCTGACATTTTGTCCACCACGGTGATCTTTTCAAAGTACAGCTCAGAATGACAAGGACAATAATTTTATACTTATGTCTTCCAGGTGACAGTTCATTTGTTTTCTACTACTGAGTTTGTGATTTTGTGACGGGAACCTGATGTGACCAGAGTTTTTTCTCAAGGGAAAGGGGTGGCTCCCAGTAATAACAGTTGCAAAACAGCTACCAGGCAGCTACAAAGCTGGAGGAGTGTGGACGGTGGTTCTTCTCAATGCCTTCCCACGCTGAAGGTTAAAATCCCATAAAAAAATGGAGGGGGTGGCACCCAAACCAAAACAACTAAACGTAAGGTACAAAATAAAAAGGTGATACCTCATAAACTGGTGTTTGGGGCCTAATATCCCAGAATCTGGAAGTTAAACAAACGACCCACGCATCACAACCTCAACAGGAAAGTGACTGACATGAAACACCTAACTTCATGAAAGAAAACTAGATGAGTGGCCTTGAAGATATCTTTGATAGGAAACTAATATTCTTATATAGGTTAGTACGGAGAAAAAAAAGACAGATTGGTGCTGGTTGCCAATGCGCGGACCCTAGAAAACCAAGTCTACCAGGGACCAACGATATATTATGAGGAAATTTCTGAGATAGTCATTAATAAAATATAATAACATTTTAGTGTCCACAAAACTGAGTCGTTAAGATAGAAATACATAATCCGTATGAAATCATATAATCAATAAACTATGAAGTTTGCCAAAAGAAAAACATTGAAAAGGGTTTGGCCTAAGAATCGGCACTCTATCATTAATAAAGAGAAATTCAAATTATTGGTTAGTGATCAAAACAATAAAAAAATGTTACAATCTATATCCGCAGCCCATATTGGTCAGTCACATCGGCCAAACATATGCATATCAGCAAATTGGGCCGATTTACATCGGTTACTACTGTTAGTTGCCAGTGAATGGTATGGATGTCGCAAAATACCATTTACGGCCTGACTTCCATCAAACCTAGAGACTCCCTACGTCAAACCAAGGTCGGTCCATCGATATCGACTCGTTGTAATAGGTGCACCTATATAAACAATACTGGCAAGACACATAAAATATTATTCCTCCACTACAGAGTACAGGTCGTTCAGTCCTCTGTGATTCTATACAATGCTGGCCACATATCTTTTCCGTGATCGATCTCAATGTGTACGCGAGAGAGAGAGACAGAGAGGGGGAATTGTGCTAAACGTCTGTTAGAAAGAGTGCGCCAAACAGCGCTCCGTGACGTTCGTCACTGTCGTTACCAGGTAACATGGTGACTATACTTGTCTGGAGCTCTCTTCCAAACATACGCATTGCACGCTTCTCTCGCACACATTGAACTCGACCAGAGTAAAGGTCTATGGCCAGCATTGCATAGAAAATGATGCTAAAAGACAGCTTACTAAGGATTTAGTATATTTTTAAAAGTCACTTAAACTACATAATACAAAACTTCAACCGTATACATTTCATAAGCTGTTTCACTTGAGATTTTCCTTAATAGTCTTAAGTAGAGGATACGCTCGACCACATAGTCCCCTGAAATCATCTGTGTCCAAGGACCAAAGCATAATCCCTCCAAGCTTCTTTGAATTGGCGTACAAGACTTTTTCTGTCATGGACCTAACGTCGTCATATCCCACCAGTTGGTCACTTTTGTATCTGAATGGTACTTTCATTTCATCGTCCCACTCGTATGTCCAGTCAGAGTGCAGTTCACAGATCTAGAAGACGGATATCAGAATGAATGATTAAGTATATATATTTCAATAAGGACGGGCAAATATTGAAATAAAATGAAACTGTGTGTTTGTGTCTGTAGTATTACCGAATTCTTATTATGGAGTATGGCTTTTTACAGTGGCGCGGATTCTAAAGCTTCATGTTCATTGAGTCTGTCGGATAGATAATAATTGTAATATTTGTTTGTCTTCGAAATATGCACTATACCCAAAAATATAGATTGAGACAAATAAATGAAAAAGCCGCAGAAGGGTGACCCTTGTGCGCGGTGGTAAAAAGAATTACAAAATATACTAACGACAATACAACACAATATGGTTTTCTTCATTCTAGTGTGACATATTCTGTATCTCAACTCAGGTAAAATGGCATATCTGGGAATATTTCCCAGCCCGTTTTTGTATTATTCTAGTATCTCTAGTGTCTTAATTCGGGTCAATGTTACATATTCGGGAATATTGTCTAATATAGGTTTTTTGTTTGCTTTGGTAGTTTTTTAGAGCAGTAATTTGATTTGTATGACACCTTGGTAGAGTCATTATCCATTAATTTATTTTCTTCGTAAATAGTCTAAGTGAGCTTATTTGTTGTTATTCTTCCGGGAGCATATTATAACACAAACCTAGGTCCCAGAAAGCTATAGGACCTTTGTAAGACATTTTTTTCTGGTTTCGGGACAAGATTTTTTCCGTGCGTCATATATATGCTTCACTGTTCTCATATTGTTTCTGTCAGTATGAGTGTTTGTCAGTACCGTTTAGTTGACGAGTATCAATACTATTTGATTCTTGGAACAATAGCTCTGTTGGATAAAGCATTGCTGAGATGACTTTGAGCTAGGCCATAATATGGAGCTGTGGAATATCCAACAATTTACTGAGATATCTGAAATTGTATAGTTCTGTGTGCATCTTTCCTATCATATACTCAATGTGGGCATCAATATATTCCAAGATGCATTATTATTTGCACCGACACAATATCACATTTGGTGTTATATTTAAAGCTTTGTAAGAAGGCAAGTTGTTGGTGTAAGAAGAGAAGGGGATAAAGTTAGTTTTGCTGAATTTCCGTTTCCGGCTATCGAACCGTTGCTTGATTTTCACAAAATCTCGTTGTACATGTAATTTTGTTTCGTCCCAACTAACGATATCTCCCTCTATTGACTGCTTGTAAAGGTCTGCTAAATATATGTTCTCCCTTCATCAATTCTTACATATTGTGATCTATTGGACAAGTAGCTCTTTATTATATTTTCCAGCTCTGTCAAAAGCGTTTCATGACTGCCGGTGTCAAATGCGTTAGCCAAGTCTATGAATACACATATTATTTTACGATTTTCATCCACTTTTTGGGACAATTTAGAAACTAAATAATTAATGGCATATTGTGTGAACGTCCTTCCATAAATCCATATTGCTTATCAGACACTATGTGGGTTTTCTTTAGACAGCTGACCAACCCTTCTTTGAATATTTTCTCGAATATTTTAGCAAATATTGATAAAAGTGCTATAGGCCTGTAGTTGTTAGCTGCCAATCTATCACCATTTTTATGAATAGCCTTGATAACTGCTGTAGTGACCAATGTTGAATGTCCAGTTATTAAGTACGATAGGGGTTCCGCGATTTCATTACGTATTAACACTGTATTGCGTATTGCCTCGGCCTCAATATCAGTATTACCTTGCCACCCTCCGGCTTATCTGTATTTTGCAAAAAGACTTCCTCAACCTAGCGTATTAAATGATTGCCAGTTATGATTAGAGTTCAAGATCTGCTGGGCCATATTTTGCCAACGTTGGTAAAATGATTTACAAAATGATTCGCTATTCATTTAGGATCTTCCAAGATCTGACTGAATTTAAGCAATAGCTTGGGTCATGTTGACTTTAAGGGCATCGATGGATCGCGACTTATTGGTATAAGACTTGAGTTGCCAGATAAATAAGTTGTTTGATGCAGATTTTTTCCGGCAGATGGTTAACTATAATAAAGATCTCCATTCCATACAAGTTACGTACGGCACATGAGTCTTTTGAATAAGAAAGGATTTCGTTAATACCTTACACGACAGGGCTTTATTCCAACACCTACTCTCCTTTATTGGAAAACCTTCAACATCGAAATAATGAATGATTAGGGGTCATTTATCTTTGATTACAATACACAAAATAAAATCGAAATCACTGAAAGTAGCAATGAACTTTCCATTTTGTGTGTTTATACAGAAGAATAAATCACATGCTGATTACTTTAGGATCAGTGTGTTCCTTTATATATTTTTTGTGTGTTTGTGCTTTTGTTATATTCTGTTAACACGTTTCTGACGTGATCTTAAGGAGTTTACTTCTTTTTAAAGGGCGTACCTGGTTTGCCTGTCTGATACATCATTGATGCTAAACAGGTTAACGTATTTAGATGTTTCCTTTTTGTTTGAAATATAACTTAATTGAGTGTTTTTAGTTGTATGAGAAAATCTATTCAGCTGTTTGAAGAATATAAGACAGGATTGGACAAATGTTTGATACTAAGTAAATTTGCGAAACATCTCAAACAATCGAGGCACTACTGTCATCGACAATGGAGCATAACATGACAAATGCGTCTTCTACATTACTTTCAATTAGAACTGATTAAATACTAGTTATACATTGATCGTTACACATGACTGGTGACTATACCAAGAGTAGGTACAGCTCGTCAAGTGTAGGAAGACATGCGAATTTTTGAATAAAGTCACGCCTTCTCGGTACGCAGTAGCTAGCGGCTCTCTTGTCGTGTCTAGACTAGTTAGCGTATAGTCAGGAGAAAAATTGTCAGGCAGTGAAACAACTTTATTATTTATTATCTGTGAATTGTATGTATTGTTACAGATTCGTGGGTTGACTACATACAATTTTACGCTATTAATTGTCGCCATTTGTATACCAAGAAAAGACAGACAAGGCGAATGAATAAGAAAGAAAAAGGGTACAAATCTAAAAGTCATTGTTGGCTTGTCTTGTGGGTACTAAATAATTCGACTTCGTGACGTGCGATGTATCGGTTCTGAGACATCATCTATGCATAGCGCAAAAACTTGTGCACAATGGCTTGAGTTTTTCAAAAGACCATACCCAGTTTGTTTGCTTCTCGTTTGCCTGTCTCCAAGACTAGACTTATACCGCAATGATGAATTGCTAACGAGCACGGCACAGTGCTGTCTGCGGTTAGTCATGATTAGCAAACATGTCGAATTCACTATTTCCATTTATGCATATTTGCATAGAAAGTCATTACTGCTTTGCTTTGTGCATACTTAGTATTTAGACTCCTTGCGTGTCGCGCAGATGTCGAGCAGTTATGAGCCAGAGACGTAGGGGTCTTCTGCCATCTTCATCGTATGGGATGAGGATAAACTCAGCTTGGCTAATGATTGGATGGTGACGATCGTTAAGAAGTATTAAGAACTTTTTGTATAGGTACATTTCATTTTGTTTGGACATTTATTCGTAATTGGGATGTTTCTCATCCATACGTAATATATTTTTCATCCAATGAGTAGGTACGTTATATGGAACAAAATATTTATGCAAGTATATCGATTAAAGCAATAACAAAGACAGCCTACACTCGAATATTATTTTACGTTAAGGCGGCTCCGACCGTAGTGAGTTTCAAGCCATTTACAAGGGTTCAGCTGCTTCAAAACTGACACTCCATTTTTCAATATTTTTCAATGAAATTCATGCAGTATGTTGAGAACATAATTGCCCAGGGTGCTATAGGAGCACTTTTTAAAATTTTGTTTTGCACAAGTTTTATGATGGGTTGAAGTCGCACTTTTTTGTTCAATTTTTTTAAAAAGAACCTAGTCAAAAAAATGAAAAAAGTGGCTCTATAGCACCCTGTGGGGTTTTGTTTTCAGCACACTGTGAAAATTTCATCCAAAAATATCAAAAATAAAGCGTCAATTCTGAAGCGCGCAAACCTCTACAAATCGTATTTGGACGAATTTTGTCTAGTGTTTTGTGCCGCCAACACAAGCGTTCCGGCGCAATGTACGGACTAAAAAAGGACGTATTCAGATAATTTGGTGGCCCTATTTCATATAATATTTCGTAGATAACTCGTTCTGCAAATAGGTACTCATAATCGCGATCGCTGATTACTCATCGACTTTAAAGCCGTGTTACTTCCCACGCCATTGGCGAGGGGAAGTATTGTAATCGCGAAAAATTTCTAAAATGAGATGCACCTAATGTTTTTTAAGTCATATGGCATCTATATCACGAAAAACTGTATCACTCATCATCAACTTGGAAATTACCGCTCGGATTTTATGAAATTTCCACACTGCCAAAGATTTGTAGTTCTACTCCACTGGCAACGGTGCTATAGGCAAAAAAGAAAAGTAACAATTGCTGAAACTCCGTTTGGACGTTTCAGGGGTTCCTAATCATTGACATAAAAAATTGTACTGCGTAAAAGGGGGGTCGAAATCAGTGAAACACGTTCTATTATTAAGAAGCTTTTGATCCCAGTGATTACAGGAAATTTAAGTAACGAAAATCCGACGAATAATGTGCTCACGATTTGAAAAAATCGGTATCTGCTCTGTAAGTTTGACACCAAGAGCCAACAGATATGCAACTACCGAGAGTAGGGAAGAATAAATTCGGATATCACTCCAGTTAAGTATAGGGGAATTTAGCGTGGAACATGGAATTATGTTGGGTTGAAATGCTTACTATTTGTGTTGAACTTCTTGATATTTTAAAAAGATCCTAGTGGATAAAATCGAAAAAGTGGATCGCTGACACCCTGTAGACTTTGTCTTTAGAACGCTTTAAGAGTTTCATTTGGAAATAATAAAAATTAAACGTAAACTGTGAAGTGCAAATCGGCTTTTGGGCGAAATTCATCTACTGTTTCAACCAAGCGTCGTGACGGTGCGTTCCGACTAAGAAAAATAGCTTCAAATAATTTTATATCTTTCCTAAAATAAATTCAAGAACTCAAATTTAAATTCGCTTGTTCATGTCAATAAACAAATTATGTT